CCCCCTTAGCCTTGTTGATCATGTGGGTTTCAAACATTTTTGCTGTTCTCTTCAACCTCAGTTTGCTGTCCCTAGTAGAAACACGGTGAAAAAGGATATTCAGGGTCTTTATGGGGTTGAGAGGTCTAAATATCATACCATGATTGATGGAAATTTGGGCAGAATTTCAGTCACTACTGATTTGTGGACTGCCACAAATCAGAAAATGGGGTATATGGCAGTAACTGGTCATTTTATTGACAACTCTTGGAAGCTTCGTAACATAATGTTGAGGTTTATGTATGTTCCAGCCCCTCACACTAGTCAAAGGCTAGCTGATAGGTTGTTTGATTCACTTCTTGATTGGAACATTGATGGTAAGTTGTCCTTAATCACACTGGACAACTGTACCACCAATGATTCAATGATATTTCATATGCGAAATAAGCTTGTGAGCAGTGATCTCTTGCTTGATGGTAAACTTATTCATATGAGGTGTTCAGCTCATATTCTGAACTTGATTGTGAGGGATGGTTTGGATGCAATCAAAGATGCTATACATTTGATTAGGGAGAGTGTAGTTTACTGGAATTCTACACCTAAGAGGGTTCAAACCTTCTTTGAAGTTGTTAAGCAACTAAAGTTGACATTTGAGAAAAAACTGGTACTTGATTGTCCAACTAGATGGAATTCCACATACCATACGCTCTCTGTTGCTCTTCAATATAATGATGTTTTCTTTCGTTTGAGCTTGAGGGACAGTCAATACACATTTGTTCCTTCTAGTTCACATTGGAAATTTGCATCTGTTGTGATTGATAAGCTAGAAATATTTTCTGAGATAACTTAGTTATTCTCTGGTTCCAAGTATCCGACTGCCAATCTTTTCTTCCCAAAGATTTGTGACTTGAGATTGAAACTGAACGAGTGGGGTCTTGACCCCAACCCTGTGATTTTTGGAATGGCCAGTCAAATGTCTGAGAAGTTTGATAAGTACTGGGATGATATCCATCTTGTACTTGCTGTTTCGGTTGTTTTGGATCCTAGATATAAGCTCCATGTGATTGAATACTATGCTGGGAAGTTTGGGAGTATGGAAACTGACTTGGTTGGTGAGAATATCAAGAAGATTATTTGTGGTTTGATTCTTGATTATCAAACCAAAGCCGAGAAGAAGTCTGGTTCTGAAACTGGAACTTCTTCTGCTAGTTCTGGATCTGTCTCGGCTACTGAACTTGACTTTGAGCTCTTTGTAAGTCAAAGGAAAAAGAGCAAGAGTTCTTTGATTACTACTGAGTTGGATATGTATCTTGCTGAGGATATTATTCCTCGGACAGCAGACTTTGATATGCTCTTATGGTGGAAACTGAATGGTCTCAAGTATCCCACCTTGCAAGCAATTGCAAGGGACCTTCTGGCAATCCCAATTACATCTGTTGCTTCTGAAAGTGCATTTAGTTCTGGTGGGAGGTTGTTAGATCCTCACCGGAGCAGGCTTCATTATTCCACTGTTGAATCAATGATGTGCACACGAAGTTGGATTATGGAAGACATGCAACGAGGTAACATGCAACTAAATCTCTAAATTCTAGTACAACTAATTTTGTTTAAGTGTAACTAATATTTGTTTACACTTTTCTGCAGATTCGGAGGCTGCTGCTGTGGAGGCATTGGAGGGAGTCTTCTCACCACTGTCAGTCGAAGATACTACTGTAGAAGAGGCAGAACCTGGGGGTAAGAAAATTAGTGCATTTCTAATTTTGTTCATTGAGATTTGATGTTGAACTAATGTGTTTTGCTTTCTGGTTGTTAGGTCCAGAAATGGTGTTCCTGAGATCACCATTTGGCCATGAAGACTGATCCATTCTCTACTGTCCAGCCAGGTTAATTACTTTAAAACTTCTTCTCTTTTGTTGCAAGAACATGGAGTTAGTTGGTGTTACTGGTTAGGCTTAGGGAGTTAAGTCTTGTTACTTGAATGTTGGTGCAGAATTTCAATTGATGAATGATGACTGCCGCTACCTGCTATTGAGTAAGATGGCTAATGGCTTGATGGGTTCATATTGCTCGAAGGAAGGCTGCTGTTGGTGCAGAATTTCAAGTTGAAGCTTCATCTTGCTTGAAGGAAGGTTGCTGTTGGAATTGATCTCAATAGTTAGGATGGCTTATGGCTTGGAGCTTTGTTTAGCTAATTAGCTTAGTTGTTCTTGCTTTGAATAAGACTCGGCAATCAGACTGCTGAGAATGAATTCTCTTTTGTTGATTTCAGTTTGGATGATTTGATATTGCTCTTGAATCTTGATTGTTGATCTCAACTTTCAAGTTTCGAATGTTGTTGCTGTCAGTTTCAGACTTCAGTTTTTGAGATCTTTTATAATAAAAGGAGATGTCAGATTTTCAGGTTTTTTTTATTTTACTTTGTCCTTTTTGTTGGCATTGTTGCGGGTTTTTCAGACCCGTGGGCACCCGAAAACCCAGCGGTGACGGGGCTGGGTATACTACTAGGCCCGGAAGCCCGTTTGGGTCGGGGACGGGTAAACCCGAAGCCCATCGTGGGCGGGGAACGGATACAGGGTACCCGGCCCCGATCCGCCCGTTGCCATGCCTAATCATTTGTAACAATATGGTTTTATTTATAGGTTATGTCAATGTTGTTTGTGTACAATATGATACTCTAGTCTGTAAACTATGTGAGTTTGGTTTGTTTACAATATTTTATAGATCTATGAACCCTAATTTATTATTAGAAGGAAGAAAGAAAAAAAAAGCATCCTCCTTTCCAGAACAGGGCACACCATGGCTACATAACTTCGCAGCTTGAACCAATCAAGCTAAGTAGTATTTAGCGTTTGTGGATTGGAGATACATAGTTTCCATTGTGAGGATCATCGCTTCTTGATGAAGTTACCCTCAGTATCCTATGCCAGTGAAGAATGGGAAATTTATGACCAATGCCAGTGAATGGTTGACGGAATACTTGGGGAATCAGATGCAAGGATCAGAATGGGAAATTTATGGGTCGCTTTGGTTTCGTCGGTGATGAGGTTGAAACAGACTGTGAGTAAGGGTGTGCAATGTTCTGGTCCGTACCAGATCGTATCAGACCAAATCAAAGTTGAGATTGGACCGAACCAGTTCGAGGATAATACGGTCCAGTAGTTGGTACTCGTGAATTTTACAATTATTTAAAAAATGATGGACCCAACTGATTTTTGAACTGGATCGATCCAGACGGCATAGACTAATGCAATGATGATCTGGTCCTTGATTCTAAGATGTTTTTAACTAATGGACTGTTATTCTCATGAGTTCGGTTTGATCCAGACTAGTCCGAATTGTTGCACACCCCTAACTGCGAGGTGATGGAGAGAATGCTCACTAATAAGCCAGCGCATTTGTTAGCCCATACCAATTGTGTTTGGGATCAAGATGAAACATGGATGGATAGGCTACTAATTTTCCTAGTACCTTTGTTAGCACTTAAAAAAAAACACTTATATTAGGGTTAGGTCAACCTTCTTAAAAACGACGGAAGAACCCGATTGGGTTTCATGTTTAATTAAACATGGTGCTTTCTAGTGCCGTCTGATGGTGATAATCATAATAAATATATATGTAAAAAAATCTGAATATGGTTATTACTTATTCGGGCTTAAAAAAAATGGAACTGGTAAGACCTAATCTGATCCGGATGAAGTTTAAAATCATTAACATGTTCAAACTCTGACCTAAACTGTCTACATGTTAAAATAATTTGGATGAGCTTAGGTCGAGTTTCGAAATATAAAAATACCAATAGGTTCAATTTTCAATACTGAAACTTGACCATGCCAAATTAGTAGCAACTATAGAGGTCAAACAGACTTGGAAAGGGTAAAACCCAAGCATTTTGGAGGATAAATTAATCATAAACCAAATGGTTTCAATAATTCTAGTTGTTGGGAGAGGGCCATGTATGATATTTAACCACTTACGCATACACCCACTTTAACGAAAACCGATTCATGGGCTTGAAGTTTGCACAGGGCCGCCGTGCTTGAAGAGAACTATTAATATTTGTCAAACGGACTTGGAAAAGGTAAAACCCAAGCATTTTGGAGGATACATTTGTCATAAACCAATTGGTCCCAATAACTGGAGTTATTGGGAGAGGTCCATGTATGGTATCTAACCACTTCCTTACACGACGACTTGGGGGCTTGAAGTTTGCACAAGCCCGCCATACCATGTGCTTGAAGACAGCGGTTAATATTGGGGCCGTGAGAATTTGAACACTTGACCTCAAGGATAAACCAGCTCTGATACCATGTAATAAACCAACTGGTCTCAATAACTCGAGTTATTGGGAGAGGCTCATGTATGCTATTTAATCACTTCCTTACATATAGATGTGAAATGTACCTTTGAATCCACGAATAATTGGTATATAAGTATATAAGTGGCAAGACGATTACTTTCCTGGTAAGTAACGTACCGACATTTTATTTTATCTCTAAACTAATGGTATGTCTAATAGTATGTCAATAGCCATAAAATATATAAAATTAATTAATTTAAAATATGTAAATAATTTTTAATCAATTAATTCAATTCATTAACTAAGGATATCAAATATTTTATACACGAATTTTATACGGGAGCTGCCAAATAGACAGAAAAATAAAATGATTTGGCAATAGTACATAAACAAAAGTCTTAAATAAATTGAATTAAATGGATTCATGGATTAGATTCTTAGATTGGATTCATAAATCAAAATGGCATTTAAACATCAGACCGTTATAAAAACAAATTGACAAGTTTGGCTATTACATCTCGTTATAGAAAATTTTAGGAACAATAAATCAAATTTTTGAATAATATTTTTCACAAATAAAACGGAGTTTAGGTATCAATTCATGTAGATATGTCAAACTATAATTTTCTAACAATTCATTAATCCACCAATTCATTTGAATTTTTATTATACCAAATTGAATTACTTCAATAATACAAATCTCACCTCATAACATGTAGAAAGATCTATGAACCCTATTTTATAATTAGAAGGGGAAAAAATCATCCTCCTTTCCAGAACATAACTTCGCAGTTTGAACCAATCAAGCTAAGTAGTATTTAGCGTTTGTGGATTGGAGATACATAGTTTCCATTGTGAGGGTCATCGCTTCTTGAAGATACCCTCAGTATCCTATTCCTACGAGCCTTCGTCTTCATCTCCATCATCATCATCAGTCTTCCATCTGAAACTTAAACATCTCATCATGTCTTAATTAAACTCAAAGTCTCACTGCATGCTTACGGGAAAATAAGATTCAGGAGAAACAGAGGAGCACACTTATGAAGAAAGAAACCCTACCCATCAATGGCCGTTCTGCTGCTACCTGATTCTGATGATGTGAGTTATTAGCTAACAGAAGCATGGAGACGAAGAGGAGGATCATCAGAAGCCAAGCTTTGAGACTGCTAATGGATATTCTCTTCAAAGCCATCATGCATGCTTAATTCTGTAAAGCCATGGATGGGTGGATATATATGGATCTATATATACAGAGCTAATGATGGTAATTAAATGTAATCAATAATCCCCATGAAAGTAACAGTTTGACGAGATCAACTTAATTATCTCGTATTAATTTTTTGTATAGTACAGGGTGACAGAGTCATATACGTACAATATGGCTCCAAATTGTCAATTATTTGTCCATATATATATGATTAGAGTCAATCTGTTCATACGAAGACTAGATGTAACTTTCAAAATTATCGGGATCTTCCGACCAGAACAGCTATAGTTTCGTCACTGGTTTCAACTTTTCTAAACTGCCAGCAACTCCATAGTACGAAGAAGAGGAGGGCCCATGAGACTAATTACCTTAGAAACATCAATTCAACTCTTTGACAGAATGACGTGGACGCCAAACCTAACTCTTAAGAGGTCCTTAGACCTTGAAAATTGTAAAATTTATGTTGGATTGATTAAAATAAAGGAGTGTTACTCATAACATACAGTGTTGGTTCACTTGGACTTCAAACAAATTCAAGCTTCAATAGATACACATCAGTCCGGGAATACCAAGCTCTTGGAGATTTCTTCAGTCCATACAAGGCTTTCTTCAATAGATAAATATGATCTTCCTTTCCAGGAACTTCAAATCCTTCAGATTGTTCACTGTATATCTCTTCCAGAAGATAGCCATTTAGAAAAACTGACTTTACATCAAAATGATGCACGTTACTCTGCTTTTGAGGTTCTATGGTTAGCAACAGCCTTATGGTGTCAAGCCTTGGAACTGGTGCAAAGGTTTCACCATAATCAATTCCAAATTGTTGTGCATAACCCTTCACAACAACTCTAGCCTTAAACTTCTTGAATGAACCATTTGAGTAAAAATTAGTCTTATAAACTCATTTAGTTCCATCAATTTTTCTTCCAACTGGCCTTTTAGGTTCCCATGTGTGATTTTTTTTTTTTTCTATCATTAGCATGTCATAAACCAGTTGGTCCCAATAACTCGAGTTGTTGGGTTAATGTTAGATTGGATTTTATACAGGCCCATGTATGATACTTAACCACTTCCTTACACGCCCCCTCAAATGAAAGCCGACTCATGAGCTTGAAGTTTGCACAGGCTCGCCATACCATGTGCTTGAAAGACAACGATTAATATTGGGGGTCGTGAGGACTTGAACACGTGACCTCAAGGACAAACCAGCTCTGATACCATGTCATTAACCAGTTGGTCCCAATAACTCGAATTGTTGGGATAATGTTATGCTGGATCTTATACAGGCCCATGTATGATACTTAACCACTTCCTTACATTTTGTGATCCTCTTGCATTGCAGCATTCCAACCACTGTGTTTTAAGGATTTATGCAGAGTGTCTGGTTCTCTTATGCTTAGATTGCACCTTACATAAACATCTACAAGTGGTCTTAAACCTCTAGCAGGAGGTTCCTCGTCACTTTCAGAACCTTCATCATCACTTTGATCTTCTTTTTCATGTTCTAAGTCTTCAGGTTGATCTGCCTCTTGAATTTCATCTTCTTGACCAGTCTGATGATGTGGCTCCTCATTTAGATCCAGTATTACATCATAGATGTCCTCAAGTTCATTTTGTGGCACTGACCAATCTGTACAGTTCCTTTATCAAAGGTCAGATCCCTTCTCAAATAGAAATTCCCAGTTGTTAGATTGAAAATCCTATAAGCCATGGCCTCAGTGTTGTAGCCAATCAAAACTCCAATTTCTTATATAAGATCCAGCTTGTCTCTTTGAGGAGCTGGAACATGTGTGTAACACACAAATTGAAAGATTCTGAGATGGTGCAAACTAGGTTTGTAACTATGCCAGGTCTCGAATGGGGTTTTGTCTCTCACTGACCTAGTTGGTAGTCTGTTAAGTAGATACACTGAGGTGTTGACTGCCTTAGCCCAGAATTTCCTCGACATCTTCTTCTCAAACAACAATCATATATCCATCTCCATTATAGTCATGTTCTTTCTTTCACTTTCTCCATTTTGTTGAGGAGTATATCTGACAGTGAGCTGATTGAGAACTCCCTCACTGGCTAACAGACTTTCAAATGCAAGTGATGCGTACTCCTTGACATTGTCAAACCTTTACATCTTGATTTTGTTTCCATTTTGATTCTCAACAAAAACCTTAAACTTCTGAAACACGGGAAAAGCTTCTGGCTTGGTCCTCGGGAAATAAACCAAGCAGAACCTAGTTAGATCATCTATAAACAATAAGAAATACTTTCTTCCTCCCCATGATTACATCTTGAAAGGAACACAAATGTTTGTATAAATCAGACTAAGTTTCTCATGTGCTCTTCAGGTATGCTTCTTTGGAAATGGTAAGTTGTGTTGTTTGCCTAATTGACAGATTTCACAGACTTCACTTCCAAACTCCAAAGTAGGCAAATCAGTCACTTCTCCTTCTAACCCATTTTCAACAGTGTAATCTTATTGAAATGACCTAGTCTACTGTGTCAAAGAGTAGAATAACCAATGCTGGCAACTAAGGAAGCATTGACCAAATTGCCGGTATTGGCTTTCATCTTAAGTGCAAAACTTCTTTGAACCATGGAAATCTCAAACAACTGATCACCTTTAGGACCATAAATCACACATTTCTTGTATAGTTGTATTGTAACGCTAACGAGTAACACTTTTCAAGTATTTGACCTATGTTAAGTAAGTTTTGAGCTAGTTTAGGCACAAAAAGAACTTCAGATTTTACCTTAGCACCACATTGTGTTTGAACTTAGACTAAACATTTTCCTTCAACAGATAGTAGAACTCCATTCGCAATCTTCACTTTAGATTTGTAAGATATGTCCAAACTCACACAATACTTTTCATTGAAAGTCATATGATTTTGTGCAACCAGCATCTAGAGCCAATCTTTAGTGCTTCTATTTGGAGCACTGTTATTAAAACCAGACCGGACGGTTAGACTGGGAAAACCGGATCCTGCTAGTAATCCGATTTTGAAAGATTTAAAACGATCAGAAAGATGGCGGACAGGTTATGACCAGTTCGATCGGTTAACCAGCAAACCCAGACAAACCGAACTGGCGGTTTTGAGCTTCATCTGCTTTTATGTTTCTGATTTAAAATAAAAACATTAAAAACCCACCGTGCTTTTATGAGAGTTTGGTGTTTTCCCCTCGAAAATGGATCCAAGATATTAAGCTTGATATACTGTATGTAACCGGTTTATTAACGGTTTGTAATACCGGTTTATTAATGGTTTGTAATACCGGTTAATTACCAGTTGGTCGATAAACCTTGAACCTCTCACTAATCCGGGATGATGTCCAGTCCAGTTTTAACAACATTGTTTTGGAGTATAATAGGTTGCCATGAACATTGCTTCAGTCTTCTTTTGCTCTGAGCTCCCAGCTAGAGTTGCTTGCTCTTTGATTCTCCTATTCTTGCAATTTCTCAACATGACCAAGTCTTTTACAAGCCATGCACTGGACATTAGGTCTATACTAGCAGAACTTCTCCATATGAGTAGTCTTTCTTTTTACAATGTGGACAAGGAAGAAAGACCATCTTCTCTGTTGGGTTTTTAGTTAGCTCCTCTTTTACCTTTCAAACTCTCTTCTCAAGTAAAGAACTGTCATCTTCTGTTATAGCAACAAAAACACAGGTGAATGCTCTGTGAGTCTTTGCAACCTCTTCAGCATTCCTAGATTGATGGTTGAATGTTGCATTTGCACGGAGTGGATCTACTCTTCTTCCTGTAACAGGCTCCCAAATGTCACAACCCATAAGAAGTTGTCTTTGTATGAGCTTCAAAACTGGCAGAGATCAAGAAGAAGAAAAGAACACGCAACTCTCTTAAAATCTCACAAATTCACTCCAAGAAAGCCTCACAAACCCTCTCAAATATCAAGGGGCCAGACTCTGATACCACATGTAGAAAAGCTAAATAAAACACCAGAAAATTGAACAGAAAACCCAGAAATTCAATGTAACGGTGCAAAAATAGAGAAAAAAGAGCATTGCTCTATACCCACAAACTCAGGTCTATTATAATTTATACCTCAAACAAACATTGTTTTTCATTCAATTTCGTTCAGATCCACACATACACCTTCTAAGCTTACAAGTGTCTGGAATAGGTTAGGGTGGTTACTCAATTTTGAGTAATCACGGTGGCTACCAACATCTATACCATTCATTATCTTTATTTTATTATACTTTTAAATTAACGATTAAGATTAGCTAAGGGTAATTTAGAAAATGAAAAACATACCACACCTGATTACTGTATATATTATACTCAAACCCTAATACAACCTATCTACCTAGCCGCCGTCTCTCCCTTCTCCCACCCCCACCGGCGTCACTCCGCCGGCCAGAACCTTCGCCCCGACGTCTTTCCTTGAACAAATTCCATGAATTTTTGCCATGGACGGGATCTGGATCCCGTAGCATCTTTTTGCCATGGACGTTCATTCGTTGCAGGAATTTCACAAGAACCCCCGACTCCAGCTCCTCCATTTTGTCCTTTTCTCGTTCCTCCTTCGAGAGAATTAATTCTACGAATTCAAGAAAATGGGTAGTCCTGGATCATGAGAATGCGCAATGGGTTTCTTTGGCTTAGCAGGAAATCATATTGAGAATTCTGATTCGTGGGAGGGGTTAAAACAATTTTTTTTATTTTGTTGTTTTGAGTTCTTCCCCCTTCTCTTAATCCCTCTCTCTCCCGGTGCAGGGGAGGATGAATAACATGAACCTTCGCCCTCGCCAGAGCATTAGCAAAATGGAGTTCCTCGAGTCGACAGATTCGCTGGAAAAGGTGGGATGAATAAAAACCCTAGATCTGATTTTTTTCCGCATTGGTAGTGATTTTTTCGTAGTGGTAGTGTTTTTTTTTGCATTTGTATTGTTTTTGTCGCATTGGTATTGATTATCATGTAATGGTATTAATTTGCATGTATTGGTATGGATTCAATCTGCAATGGTATTGATTTTTTGTGAAATGGTATAGATTTATA